TTTAACTGTCTCAATAACATAAGATTCGATCTAATTCAATGAGAAAATGACATTTTAAGAACTATGTAAAGTACGTAAGATAAATAATGAGTCAGGTATTTATGTTTTGTATCTAAATATGTGGATATAATTTTGCAGGACTTCATCTACCATCCATCCACCTCCCACTACAGACAACAGGTCTTGCCATATTTGATACCGTCATTTCGAATTTCCCTTGACTCTACATGCAGAACATAAAAGAAACAAACCATTGCTACAGTTACAAGACATAACCAACACAAATTCCTGAAAAGGATTGTTGATGTTGTAGCTATGAGTATTTTTTATTTTATTTTATTTTTTACATCTAATAGGCTGAAAAGAATATAATGTTCAATGATGTTCTGGTTTTTGTAGAATCTCATCAACCATCATTCCATCACCTGAAACAACAACAGATGACAGGTATTCACAAATTGAATTACTTTATTTAAGTTATCTGTCAAAACATTTTAGGTACAGTGTGTGTGACAGGTTGTTCCATATTCTTTACTTAGTTGAATGTGTGTTTGCAACTTTCACTTCTGTTTTTTTGTCACAAGTTCTAACCTACTATTAATCAATCTCTTACAAGACATGATAATTAATTTACCCATTTTATTTTAAATACAAATGTCTTGAATTACTTCCTCTTTTACTTCCAAGGACAATAAGATGTATGGTTTTATTGAAAGCAATGGAAGCAATAAAACCGTACAGTGGCAATACTTGGGATTTGTATGACCTGCCAAAAACCCAAATATCTGATAAAAATAAAAATAAATTGCATTCAGGCTCGCAATTTCTTTTTAAACAACTATATTTCAAAGCTTTGAAAGAGTTTTATTTAGTTGAACAACAGCAATAATCTAAGGATAACAACAAAAGATTTTAAGCTTTCTAGTTTAGGACACATTCATATTGGTAAATTAGCAGAAGGTTGACGTAGTTTAAATTGCCTGTATTTATTTTTTCCAAGTAATCTCTTCTACAAATACAATCGCTAACTTTTAATTTTTAATTAGAATTATCTATGTCTTTTACATATTTATGTTTCAAGTCAAGTCAGTATTGCCAACACAATACAATCTATACCACACAGATACTTAACACAACAGACATAACATATATGTTTTAGCAGCTGTACGTGCTGTGCTACAGCTGCTAAATTGTAAAAAATTGTAAAATAATCCTTTGACTTTTGTAGATTCCCATACACCATCATTCCGGATTTGACGACAGACAACAGGTATACCCAAATTAATGGGTCTGCTTGTATGAGTAGAAAATATTGCAGTATTTTTCGCTAGATGATCAAATGTTCAAATTCAACTTTTAAAAACTTTTAGACGGTTAGTCAAGGTCCACAGCTTAATGATAACATAATTCACACATGACAATTTATTTTGTTGCTGAAAGTATACTAATATAGATATTAATAGGCAGCCAAAATGACACTGTGCAATTACGCTTTTACTTTTTCAGAATCTCAACCACGATGACTCCACCACCTACTACGACAGATGACGACAGGTATTCCCAAATTTAATGACCATTTCATTTATCAAAGCCTTAAAGATGGTGCCTGTGACGGTTCATTCATATTTTTTCATTGCTATATAAAGTATTATTGTTTTCATTTCTGATGACATTTTGTTTATTTATTTTTACTTCCATGTCATCACTGACAATTAATCCACCCTGTACAAAAGTATGCAGATACCTTATCCATTCAAATGTCTTAATAAAGAAAATCCAAAAACAATTATAATATGGCAATGTACCATAAGTTAATAAATCAATTAATATCTGCAGTGTGATTCCAACTGAATATGTAAAAATTGAGTTTAACTATAAACCTTTGTCACTAAGCTCAAAATCACTTAGGATTTTCAACTGGAAATTTCTTTATTAGGGCTGCAAACTGTGACAATTTAGTTTATTTAAAAATGTGAGTGAAGCTACAAATAGAGAAGTAAACAGTCAAGAGAAATAAATAGCTCTTATATCGATGGTGTCTATATGAGAACTGTTTTACATGGTGGCCCTCACGAAGTCCAATGTTGATCATTTTAAAACTGATCAACATTTTAAAGTTTTATCAAATACATTTTCCATGGGACTACCTTCTAAACTGTGTATGATCCTCTTCACTGCTGACCTTGTTGTTGATGACTACGTACCTTCAAAGTGCAATAAAATAACACTGAATTTAACTACGACTGCACTTAACTAAAACACAGAGCTTAAACTTTAACTTAATACAGGATGACTGGACTGATGTATATTCTCAGGATATTTTTCTTTCTCTTGTAGCATTTTTTGCCTCAGTCCTGGCATGGTGGCCTCTCCCATCCTCACTGTCCTGCTGGCGTTGATCCTTCTGCTGTCATAATGTACACCTCTCATATAAATCTTCTATCTCTGCATAGGCAGCGAAAATGATTAGAAATTTCTCCCAGCTATGCATATATGTTATAATGGCATTGCAAGTTGACATTTTGTCCTAAAATTGTGAAATCTGGGAAGCTGTGTATTACCTTAAGAAATCAGCGTAAATATATTGTTGAGTAGAAACCGAACTTGTAGCTTCTATTCAACAATATTTGGTGATGGGACTTCATTTTTATTAAACTTTTACGTGCACATTTTTGAAGATTGCAAATTTTTGAAGTATGATTTTGTTTTTATAGCAGATACGCCTATTCACAGCTCTTCAATTTCTGAATCAAACCCATAATATTCTGTTTGAAGATGAAACATTTTTCACAAATGTTTAGCCACATGCTAATATATTTAAACATGGGTGCTTGGTGACTTAATGGTAAAGGACATATTTTAACAAACATGACTTGTATTTTGGGTTCTTGTTAATAGCAACCCTAACAGTAATGTCAAAATGTTTGGTTCGCTATGTGTTCACTTTTGGATGGCTTCATTGGTAATCTATAATGTCAAGTCTCAATAAAACACATAACATTGTGTTATTTTCTCTGTCTAAGGCTCCTCACATTTTTGGAAGGATTATATTAGGACCTTGATGTCATACAAACTACATTGTGTACAATAATGTGTGGAGTGTGTATGAATAAAAGAGACTGCTTTGTTCATTGAGAGCACACCAGCATTTATTTGTCGTTTTGCCTCAGCTCTATCATCTCAGTGTAGGTCGCTACTTCCTCCTGAAGGAGATCCATCCAGGAGCTGCTGTTCATGTTGCTGACGGTCCCCCCATCGTTTACCATTGTCAGTCATGTTCCCCTTCTTCTGTTCTCTGGTCAAAGTAATCAAATGTATTTAGATGTGATAGATGTGATTATAGTAAATACTAATGTGGAAGTTACATACACAGAAAGAATTATTTAAAACAGACATTACTTTTACCATTCAGACATGCACAATTATAAATAACTGGAATAGTCGTATAAATTAAAGACTATTTCAGTCGTGTCTTTAATTTGCAGTGGCATTTTATCCACTCTTGTTTATCAACGAGAGTGGATAAAATGCCACTCTTGTTTTATTCAAGTTTATTGTTTCTTTCTGTGTCCTGTACAATGAATAGTTTATAACTGTTTAATTGGAGAACTGATATCTAAACAAAGCTTTCCATTCTCTCCGCTAACACTGCGGCGACAAAAACAACTCATTCCTCATTGCTCCATGAAGCTGCCGCTGAATATTGAAGTCCGATGCACAGAAAAGCCAGCGTCTCAACGTTCACCACTTGCTTGTAACTTCAGAGGACTCCCATCACTTCCAGGTTGCAGCAAGTTCGAAATTTTGCGCCATTTGTTTTTCTTCTCTCTTTGGTCCTATGGCTGACCATGACCAGTGAACAGGAGCTAAGCTTGCGTCACCCATGCAGGCCCCACTCCAAAGCAGGGACTGAAAAATCATGGACTGGCTTGGAAAAAATGATAGTGGAAACGTTTGCAATGCAGGTTGAGTAGAGTGGAGCTGGATTCTTTAAAGCCAGTGGTAAAGGGGCATACGTTAAACCTGGATCAGTTTCAAGAACCAGTTCTGAGATGAGAAGAGCAGCTGTCTCTCTAGTGAATGTGTTCTGTGGGACCCAGCTGACTCAGGCTACTAGTTGGTAGTCGGGTCTACCTCACCAACTACTCCACAAATCATGACACCTTAAGCTTAACACTGGACCATTGTGTCACCAAATCAAAACTTCTCTCTGAGAGTTTTATTAGCGCTCCATTAAGTTTTTATTTGGGTTTTATTGGCATGTTTGTTGTTGGTTAAAAAATTTTTTTAGACTATTATGAGGAACTCCTCTAATATACATCCACAGGTGTGTTTCCTTCAAGTATATAATGTGCACAAAAACATCAAGAGATCAGATTTGATGTCCAGGAGTATAATAATCTTATTTGTATGTAAAATTTTGAATTTGAAGAAAATTACATTAAAATAAGCCTAAAATATTTTTTCATGATTCTGGCAGATAGAATTGTTGTACTTTCAACTGGCTGACTTTACTTATTAATTTCTTCAGCTACCATTAATTCACCTGCTACCACAGACAACAGCTATTGTCATATTTAATGAGAGGTGTTTACAATTTTTTTATCATTAGATGAGTCCATATACAGAACAAAATGGAAATAAAAAGAGCTGTGTAATGGATAGTAAATTCAAAATAAATTGTATAAATGATTTAAAACTGTAGACTATTTAAGATAAATTAGTAAATTATTCAAAGTGAATTTTCTAAATTATGAATGTTGCAGATTGTGCATGGATGATTGTCTGTTTTGATTAGCACTGTTGGTAGTTTATATTTTGATTTGTTTAATGGTATTTGCACTTTGTAATAGTTGTTTGTTGTATCCAGGATGGATGGATGGATGGATGGATGGATGGATGGATGGATGGATGGATGGATGGATGGATGGATGGATGGATGGAT